AGTGCAGGGTCCTGCACTTAGGACGGAAGAACCCAATGCACAGCTACAGACTAGGGACCGAATGGCTAGGCAGCAGTTCTGCAGAAAAGGACCTAGGGGTGACAGTGGATGAGAAGCTGGATATGAGTCAGCAGCATGCCCTTGTTGCCAAGAAGGCCAATGGCATTTTGGGATGTATAAGTAGAGGCATAGCGAGCAGATCGAGGGACGTGATCGTCCCCCTGTATTCGACATTGGCGAGGCCTCATCTGGAGTACTGTGTCCAGTTTTGGGCCTCACACTACAAGAAGGATGTGGATAAATTGGAGAGAGTCCAGCAAAGGGCAACAAAAATGATTAGGGGTCTGGAACACATGACTTATGAGGAGAGGCTGAGGGAACTGGGATTGTTTAGTCTGCGGAAGAGAAGAATGAGGGGGGATTTGATAGCTGCTTTCAACTACCTGAGAGGTAGTTCCAGAGAGGATGGTTCTAGACTATTCTCAGTGGTAGAAGAGGACAGGACAAGGAGTAATGGTCTCAAGTTGCAGTGGGGGAGGTTTAGGTTGGATATTAGGAAAACCTTTTTCACTAGGAGGGTGGTGAAACACTGGAATGCGTTGCCTAGGGAGGTGGTGGAATCTCCTTCCTTAGAAGTTTTTAAGGTCAGGCTTGACAAAGCCCTGGCTGGGATGATTTAATTGGGGATGGGTCCTGCTTTTGAGCAGGGGGTTGGACTAGATGACCTCCTGAGGTCCCTTCCAACCCTGATATTCTATGATTCTACTTTAGGCACAAATTAATTAACAAAAGTCCTGTGGCCTGTGTTATGCAGGAGGTCAGACCAGATGGTCCAGTGGTCTCTTCTGGCCTTAAATTATGAACCTAGGCCTCTCAAACAGAAGAGTCCGTTAAATTTACTTCCAATCAAAGTTTTTATATAAACATACAGAGAGCGTAGGTGTGAAGAGCAGGTCTTGCCTCTTTCTCTGAGAGCTTCCAGGACCCTGGATACTAGAAATGAAGACATTTTGAGCAACTTAGCTCACTCCATTGTGAATTCTGGGTTTTCCCTGCAATACATTCTTTAGAACTTTGAGTTGAAACAAATGTAAAAAAGCTTCTGTTCAGACATCTCTTCTCCAGCAAATATGTATCACCCCCTCCTGGATACACAGAATACAATGGATGTATGCACTAATGTTCTGTAGTAAGAAATGCAGCCTTTTTAATGCTCAACTTTACTGTTGTTCAGCTCCATCCGAACTATCAGATTTGGACTGAATGAGGCACAGACGTTCTCTGAGCCTTTATTCTACTGCCCATCACTGTAGTATCTGAACAGCAGTGAACAGACCTATTTCTGGCACTGATTTGTTAAGTGCCACTGGCCATATAAACTTCTTGGTGCTTCAGTTATTCCATTTGCAAAATGTAAGCAATGATATTTGTCTTCATTATCGAGTGCTGTAAGGCACATGTAATAAACCCCAAGCTCATTCTTTTAGGCCATGGCACCTTCGGGTAGAAAGAACAGGAAGAAAAGGCTCAGCATATGCTCAAGAAATCAAAGGCAAGCTTCTGATATCTCATCTCAATCAACCTAGAATTGTGTTATTTCAATACACCACTGAGCGGCTGCACTCGCATGGGGGGAGGGATAGCTCAGTGGTTTGAGCATTGGCCTGCTAAACCCAGGGTTGTGAGTTCAATCCCTGAGGGGGCCATTTAGGGATCTGGGGCAAAAATTGTGGATTGGCCCTGCTTTCAGCAGGGGGTTGAACTAGATGACCTCCTGAGGTCCATTCCAACCCTGATATTCTAGGATTCTATTCTATGTGTTAACAAATAGCTATGAGCAATTGAAAATACACCACAGTAAATCTATACCAGCATGTTCTAATATACAGGTTTCTAATTAATGCATATCACCCCACATAACCAATCTTAACTTAGCAAATAGGGAGCAGAACAGAAAAGGAAATGTGCAACACAGATTATTACTACTTCTACGTCTCGTGTTATAGTAGGATCCAGATCAATGCCCCACTGAGGTAAGCATTATATAAGAACATGGTGAGAGACATTCCCTGTCCCAAATTTATGAGTTTATAAAAGATCTCATACATCAAGTGGCTGTAACAAAGAAACGGAGGCAGGATGAGGAAACAGTGAAAAATATGGTTACATAGACGAGCAGTGCCCACAAATTTTCAAGTTTCAAGTCAAGCAAATGGAATAACTTCAAACCTGCATTAGACACGTTTTCTTATCTCTATTCCCTCATCCTCCCTACATTTGTTTGTTACACCGACTTTTTGCATTTTGTCTAGGCTCTTTGAGGAGAAAGTCTGTCTCCTCCCATGGGTCTGTATTCCCCCTTTTGACTGGGTCTCTGGATGCTATTGTAATACAAATAATACCACTCTCACATTTTGTGCATAATAAGTTAATAACAAATTTTGAAGGTTTAAAAGCATACACACTGCACCCTTTAATTCCTACAAGTGCTCTGTCAGCATAGTCAATGAGGAAAAGAGGTGAAAAGCTAAAGAAAGTGATAATAGTAAACATTAAAATTCAACCCAAGGAAAGTGAGACATTATGGCCATAGTTCCTTAAAAATTCTAAACAGTTCTCTTGTGTTATGGTACTAGGAGGAGGATTTTTGAACAGATGCCTTTTTTCACCCTTCATCAAGATTAGAGGCATCTGCTATTTCTTCAAATCAGTTTAGAGAGCAAATCAGCTCCGTACTAATGAAGAGTGTAATTCAAATGCCAACTAAAGCAGCAATTAAACAATTGAATATAATTTTTCTACCTCAAAAGCACCACTGCATTATGCTCAAATTTTCAGGCACAGACTTCCTGGTGATTTGCAACATGATTTTAAACTATGAATCACAAATTTTAATGCTATGAACTACCTATAACCTCATTTTAAAAACCAACTAATTTGGGGAAAATATATAAAAACTGGAGGCACATACCATGCTTATTCCACCTGTTCAGCAATGTACTAAGAATCAGCTTGATAAGAGCTGATGATTGGAGTCAGGAAAATGAAATTTTTTTTCCCAGCGCAAATATCACCCAAATTGATGACCCAAAGCCAAGTCACTTACTTTTCTTTTTAATGCCAAACATTTTCCCAAGTATAAAATAGGAACGAGAATAATATGATATCCTAATTGTGCGTCCTCTTTTTGAGCCCTAAATACAAGTAGAGTGTTTACAGCAGGGGTGGGCAAACTTTTCGGCCCGAGGGCCACATCCGGGAATAGAAATTGTATGGCAGGCCATGAATGCTCACAAAATTGGGGTTGGGGTGCGGGATGGGTGAGGGCTCTGGTTGGGGGTGAGGGCTCAGGGTGGGGCCAGAAATGAGGAGTTCAGGGTGCACGAGGGGGCTCCGGGCTGGGGAGTAGGGTGCTGGCTCCAGCTGGGAATGAGGAGTTTGGGGTGGAGGAGGGTGCTCCGGGTTGGGACCAAGGGGTTCGGAGGGTGAGAGGAGGATCAGGGCTGGGGCAGGGGGTTGGGGCATGGGGAGAGGCTATGGGGTGCAGGCTCCAGGCGGCGCTTACCTCAAGCGGCTCCCGGAAGCAGAGGCCATGTCCCCACTTCGGCTCCTACGCAGGAGCACCCATCAGCAGGCACCGCCCCTGCAGCTTCCATCGGCTGCAGTTCCCAGCCAATGGGAGCTGCGGGGGCGGTGCTTGGTGCGGCAGCAGCAGCATGCAGAGCGGAGCCCCTTGGCTGCCCCTACACATAGGAGCCAGAGTGGGGCCATGCCACTGCTTCCGGAAGCAGCGTGGAGCGGCCCCCCACTCTGCTCCACGGCTGGAGCGCTGGAGGGCGACAACCCCAGACCCCGCTCTCCGTGGGCCGTAGTTTGCCCACCCCGGTTTACAGGAATCTTTACATTTTCATTGAAAGTAAAAAAAACCACTAATTTGTTTTTTAGTAAGTTACAACCTTTTTTGTCCTTCCTTTCCCTGTCCATTGTCTCTACCTCATTCTTGTTCCCTTTTCTACATACTGTGTAGAAAGGCTGTCATGTTTAGAGCAAATGTAATGTATTTTTGGAAAATTATACAAAAACTGAAGTGTAAATTAAGTACAATGGTAATTCTGGAAACGGAAGTACAGCTGGCCCGTAGGAAAGGATTCGAGTCCAATGTGGGTATTAACAATTCATACGTATCTTCTGGGATCTATTTACCTCAGCTGAAGAAGACAAGAACATAAGGTGGTCTGTTGCTACTAAACTATATTGTATTTAGATCTTTCTTCTGCACTTAAATTATTAACCTCTTGGCACCAGTAGCCATAATGCCTTATGTTACTACCAATACTGCCAAATCTCCCTTGTCCCCAGGAGCTTATCACTCTACCTGTATTCGTTTTTTTAAAAGGGCCATCAATGTGGCATCCAAATGACTTCATGAGAAGTAAACAAGAATCTCTCTTCCAAATTACTGGAAGAAACTAGCTTTAACTTTTGGCTTTTTTAAAAAAAACCAAAAAACTATATAATTGAGGGTGCTGCTGAGCCGTTTGTGACCAATGTATGGCTGTAGTTCTGCTTGGTTCCAGGCACACAAGCAAGACCCAAACCTACTATAACATAATACGTTCACTACCATGTGTAAGCCTGATACTTTAAGGGCAGATTTTGTAGTTTATATAAGACTTGCGTAATGAATAACTTCAAATTAAACATTTTTGGTGTTAAAAAAGAAAAACAACAGGATTTATGTAGTTCACACAAAATAAGGATTCAAGTGTACTACCGTGAAATCCCCTGATCCATCCCTCAGAGAAATACTAACAGTTTTTACTATTGGTTGGCTATGGTTTGAGTAACAGTACACTTATCACCAGTACACACACAGAGCTATATATTTATGATACTTAGATCATATTTTTTTTCCTTGGAAAGCCAAATCTTCATTTAGGAGTCAAGTAAAATAATAGCATAATATACAATTAGCTTCATACTGTGTGGGTAGGACTTACCTAAAAGCTGCCACTAATGGAGCATAAACTGAGTCTCCGTCATACACATACAAATGGTCCCAACTGCATTCTGTAGCAAAGTGATTGAATCGAAGCCTCAGGATTGTATTTGGCCTAAACAAAAAATAAACCCTAAATTAACCATACAAAAAACCCACAATGGCAGCATCTCCAAACAACTGCCTTGATGTGCAGTTTCACTCTCAAAGTGACTCAAAAAAAAAAAAATCAGCTATTCACCTTACAGTAACTGTGATTTCTCAAGATATGTTGTCCATTTAGATTCTACTCTATGTAGCCCATGCACGAGATTTGGCTAGCAGTGTCCGCTGGGGCCACACCTGTGCCCAGAACTTTCTCACCGCCCCACCCCAGCCCCCCAAAGGCATTAAGGGCAGGCTGGACCCAGCCATCCCTCTGTTCCTATGCCAATACAAAATTCTGTAGGTGGGAGGGGTATAGCTCAGTGGTTTGAGCATTGGCCTGCTAAACCCAGGGTTGTGAGTTCAATCCTTGAGGGGGCCATTTAGGAATCTGGGGCAAAAATTGGGGATTGGTCCTGCTTTGAGCAGGGGGTTGGACTAGATGACCTCCTGAGGTCCCTTCCAACCCTGATATTCTAGGATTCTATGAAAAGCAGGAAAGGAGGCTGGGCCATGAGATCCTTGATATCCACACATCTCAATTTCTGTAAGGTAAGTATTCAATTATTAGACAATGACTTGAAGAAAAATGGATTCCACTTTTGGTGACTAACAAGCATTTGTTTGTTTGCATGGAATTGGATAAATATGGTATAACAACGTATACAGCATAAGATACTTAAACAATGACTAGAGAGGACGAAAGAGTAGCGTCTTGCAAAGGTGTGTACTCAGCTCCATGTAGCTGCCCTATAGATTTCAGAACTAGGGATGTTTTTGAAACAGGCAGCAGAGGCTGCCTGAGCTGTAATGTGACCAAGTGACTAACCCATAAAAAGTTCTCATACAGTTGGAGTCCCACTTAGATAATCTGAGAGAATAGTGACTGACCCTTAACCATTTCTGCAAAGGCCAAACAACGTAAGTGTGTTCCTGAATGGTTTTGGCCTGCCAATATAAAAAGCCAGTGCCCTTACTACAAGTGTGTGAAACTTTGCTTTCCCTGGGAGTGAGGCTTGGGGAAGAAAACCGGGAGATGAACAGACTGGTTCATATGGAACTCAAACAATTTTTGGAAGGAACTTGAGACGAGGTCTGATTGTGACGCTATCCTTATGAAACACTATACAAGGAGGATCTGCCATGTGCCACCTATCCTTTGAGCTGTAAAAAAAAGCACTAAAAAAGCAGTCTTCACTGGAAGGTGGTATAGCGAACAAGTTGCTGAAGACTCGAAGGGTGGGAACCCATCTACCTTGCTAATCCTCTATTGAGACAGAAAGAGGAAGGGGGCTCCTAAATTGGGGGGAAATAACCATGTATGTGACTTTTCAGGAATCTATCTACTGCAGCGGTTCTCAAAGCCCAAGCCCCACCATGCAGGACCAAAGCTCAAGGGATTCAACCCTGTGTGGCAAGGCTCAGGCTAAAGCCTCTGGGCTTTGACCTCTTCCTCACCTGTGGTGGTGGGGCTCAGGTTTTGGCTTTGTGCTACCCTCCGGAGCAGTGGGACTCAGGCGGGCTCTGGCTTCGGTCCCCCTTCCTGGGGTCATGTAGTAATTTTTTGTTGTCGGAAGGGGGTTGCGGTGCAAGGAAGTTAGAAAACCCTTGGTCTACTGTATGATGAGAAAACACAATGTGGCCCTGGATAGGAGGGGGATGAAGTATTTTAAAGTTACATGAATTGAAATGGCAGTTGAGTCTGAATAAACATGGGTCCCTTATCTCTTCAGATGAGCTGCCACAACTGTCAAGTACTTGGTGAATACCCTCAGTGCTGTGGAAGACCAAAGGGCAAGACTTTGTACTGGCAGTGAAATGTTCATATTACAAATCGGAAGTATTTCCCGTGGACCAGATGAATGAATGTGCAAGTAAGTGTCTTGGAAGTTGAGAGCCCTGAATCAGTCTTAAGGACCTAACAAGGGAATTATGAAAGCAAGAGTCATCATCCTGAATTTTCAATGATGGATGAACTTGTGGAGACATCAAAGGTCCAGAAAAAGGATGCCTACCCTTTTCTTCTTTGGGAGGAGAAAATAATGGGAATAAAAAAAACCTCTCTCTGAACATAAAGGGCACGTTCCCTACTGCTCCAAGCTGTAAAAAGAGTCTATTTCTTACTTTAACAATCTCTCATGAAAGGGGTCCCTAAAAATGGAGAGGGAAGCGGGTAGGGAATATGAGGAAGGGACTGGAATTGGTCGAATACCCCTTGTTTACAGTTTCTAGGATCCACTGGTCCAAAGTGATCCATGTCCAGACCTCTAAAATTATAGAGATGATTGCCAGGGGGAGGATGTAGAATGGAAGAGATCATCTGATGGCTTTCCAAAGCTCTTGACACTGGCATCAAACTTGCCGCCTGGCAGAAGGCCCAGACTGCCAGACAGTGGAAAAAGAGGAGGAAAGTCACTTGCACTGGAACCTCTGCTTCTTCCTCAGTGGTTTTGGAGTCCTCTGCAGTCTCTAGTAGTATTGAAGGAGCTCTCAGATCTTTCCTGCTTCCTTTTTGGAGCTGAGACACACAGGCCAAGGGAACATGGATCATTCTGGGAGTCCTTTAAAGAATGGAAGGCCTCATCTGTCTTTGAATTAAGAAATTCATTGTTCTCAAAGAGAAAGCCCTCAATTGTAGGGCTGTCAAGCAATTAAAAAGATTAATTGCATGATTAATCGCACTGTTAAACAATAATAGATGCTTTTGAATGTTTTCTACATTTTCAAATATATCGATTTCAATTACAACACAGAATACAAAGTGTAGAGCGTTCACTTTATATTTATTTTTGATTACAAGTATTTGCACTGTAAAAAAACCAAAAGAAATAGTATTTTTCAATTCACCTTATACAAGTACTGTAATGCAATCTCTTTATCATGAAAGTTGAACTTACAAATGTAGAATTATGTGCAAAAAAACCTGCATTCAAAAATAAAACAATGTAAAATTTTAGAGCCTGCAAGTCCACTCAGTACTACTTCTTGTTCAGCCAATCACTCAGACAAACAAGTTGGTTAACATTTGCAGGAGATAATGCTGCCCGTTCTCGTGGCACTGTTATAGCCAATGTCGCAAGATATTTAGGTGCCAGATGCGCTAAAGATTCACATGTCCCTTCATGCTTCAACCACCATTCTAGAAGACGTGTCCAGGCTGATGACAGGTTATGCTCAACAATAATCCAAAGCAGTGCGGACCAACGCATGTTCATTTTCATTATCTGAGTCAGATGCCACCAGCACAAGCTAGATTTTCGTTTTTGGTGGTTCGGGTTCTGTAGTTTCTGCATCAGAGTGTTGCTCTGTAGCGACGCAGTGTGGTTCCCTGCAGCCCCAGAGAGGAACGAGCCCCTCCGGACGCCAAAGTGGGCAGAGCCAGTGGAGCCTGCGCCAGCCCCCCAGAGGTCAAGGCACAGGACAGGAAGTACAAAAGCCCAACCCCAGTGTTCACCAGAGACCCAGCCGCTGGAGAAGCCAGACGCCTGTGGCCTAGCTCCCAGCTGGGAGACTCCTGCAATTGGCGACCGAGCTGAGGCCTGACCAGACCCCGGAGAAACTGTTAAGCCTGCCTGTGGCAAGTTACCCAGAGAAGCTGCCGAGCCTACCACTCGCTGGGTACCTGAGGAGCCCATGGTACTTGATTCCTTGAAGGACACCATCCAGGTGCAGCTACCTCTAGACGGGGAGGTAGGAAGTAGCCCGGGGGTAGCCGACCCTAGTCTGGCTGCAGCACACCTAGAGCCTATGTCAGTGTGTTGCAGCCAGGATCCCCATTGACACAACAGCAGGCCGCGTCTGCTGCTGCTAGGGCCCCAAGATGGGATGCAGCGGAGTGGGTGGGCCTGCATCCCCCTGCCACCCAACATGCAGGTGACAGTCTCCCCCTCTCCCAGGCCCTTCGGAGCCAGGGCCGGGGTCTCCTGAACTTACCTGTTTGCTCAGTCCCTTTCTCAGGGCCTGAGTCCCAAATGCTGTACTGCCCGCCCTGAGCCAGGGCCTGGGCTTGGTGCTTATTTGTTTGCTCAGCCCCTGCCTGAGGGCCTGAGCCATGGACTCTTTGCAGCCCACCCTAACATAGGGCCTGGGCTTATTGCTTAACGGTTTGCACCGTCCCTGTCCAAGGACCGGAGCGTGGGACTCACTACTGCCCGCCAACCGGGCGTGAGTAACTGTTCTTTTGCCTCTACCGCTGCGTGAGACCCCGCAGCCAGACTAGTTCCTCGGACGTAACCAGACAGATGTAGCAAAACGGGGTGGTTCCCTACTGCCCTGGAGAGGGACGAGCTCCGGCCGAACCCTTCTACATGCTCTTTTAAGACTTCTGAAAGCAAGCCCCACCCGTCCCTCTCAGTTTTTGGAAGGCACTTCAAATTCTTAAATCTTGGATCAAGTGCTGTAGGTAGCTCTAAAAATCTCACACTGGTACCGTCTTTGTGTTTTGTCAGATCTGCAGGGACAGTGTTCTTAAAAAGAACAACATATGCTGGGTTATCATCCAAGACTGCTATAACATGAAATATATGGCAGAATGCAGGTAAAACAGAGCAGAGGACATACAATTCTGCCCCAAGGAGTTCAGTCAGAAATTTAATTAATGCTTATTTTTTTTAATGAGCATTATCAGCATGGAAGCATGTCCTCTGGAATGGTGGCCAAAGCATGAAGGGGCATACAAATGTTTTGCATATCTGGCACATAAATACCTTACAATGCAGGCTACAAAATGCCATGCAAATGCCTGTTCTCACTTTCTGGTGACATTGAAAATAAGAAGAGGGCAGCATTAGCTCCTGTAAATGTAAACAAACTTGTTTGTCTTAGCGATTTGCTGAACAAGAAGTAGGACTGAGTGGACTCTGAAGTTTTACATTGTTTTGTTTTTGAATGCAGTCACGTAACAAACAAACAAAAATCTACATTTGTAAATTGCACTTTCACTATAAAGAGATTGCCCTACAGTACTTGTATGAGGTGAATTGAAAAATACTATTTTTTTTATCATTTTTACAGTTCAAATATTTGTAAGCAAAATATACACTTTGATTTCAATTACAACACAGAATACAATACATATAAAAATGTAGAAAAACATGCATAATATTTAATAAATTTCAACTGGTATTCTATTATTTAACAGTGCAATTAAAACTGCAATTAATCACGAATAATTTTTTTGAGTTAATCACGTGAATTAACTGCAATTAATCGACAGCCCTACTCAGTTCTTTGGATCTCCATGGGAATCCCAAATGCTTGGAACCAGGATAATCTTCACATCTCAGATGTGACCATGGTGAGTGACACTGTATTAGATGAATCTAGTGCAGCCCACAGAGAAGTGTGAGATATCAGCTTCTCCTCATTCATTATAGATTTGAACTCTTTCCTAGACTCTAGAGCAGAGGTGGGCAAACTACGGCCCACGGGACCACCCTACCCGGTCCCTGAGCTCCCGGCTGGGGAGGCTAGCCTCCAGCCCCTCCCCCGCTGTCCTCCCTCCCCTGCACCAATGCCGCTGCGTAGGCAGCACGGCTTGCGCCCACCCACCTCCCAGGCTTTTCAGTAAGCCAGTCCTGCCACTCTGAGCGGCATGGTAAGGGGGCGGGAAGAGTGGGGGGTTGGATAAGGGGTAGGAGGTCCCGGGGGACAGTCAGGGGACAAGGGGTGGTCGGATGGGGCAGTCAGGAGACAGGGTGAAGGGGGGGGGTTCGATAGGGGGTGGGGTCCTGGGGGGGGGGCAGTTAGGGACGGGGGTCCCGGAAGGGGGTGGATAGGGGAAGGGGGCCAGGCTGTTTGCGGAGGCACAGCCTTCTCTACTAGGCCCTCCATACCGTTTCGCAACCCCGATGTGGCCCTCGGGCCACAAAGATTGCCCACCCCTGCTCTAGAGGAAGTGCGATCATAAATTGAGACAGCTTGTCCCAGGGCAAATGATTGTATTTTGCTACCAGTTCTGGGTAATTAGTTTCTCACATCTAGAGACTGGCTAGGAGGTAGACTTTATTGCCCAAATATACACCACAAAGCTGGAGCTTTCTCCCTTTGTGTTGGTTTGGGAGGTCATTGCTGTTTGAACTTCTCCTGGACAGCGGCTACAAGAGATCCTGGCACTGGATGAGAACAAAAGTACTCAAATCCTTTTGAAGGCTAGAATCGATGCTGGAGTCTGCCACAAGTGCTTTGCAGGTTCCAACAGTCCCTGTTTTATAGGCATAGTGAGCCTACCAAGCATGAAAAGGTAGGGAATGTTCAGCAGTTTACATGATTTCTCTGCATCTTACTTCCAGTCTGAATTTGTCTGGCTTCAACTTCCTGCTACTGCATCTTGATACACACCTTTGTCTACTAGGCTCAAGAGCTCTCTTAACAGCAGCACAGGATTCACTCAGGGCATAATGGGAAGACACCTACACAATCGACAGTTTTATAGAAACTTTTCAGAGTAGAACTATACTTCAGAATGGCATACCTTTACATTTGGCAAACCAGAGATAGAACAGACTATTTCTGTAAGGACGTGTGCTTTGTTTTTGGCAGCGTAATTCTCTACCCAGCCTGAACCCTCATTCACACGATCCTCTGATGCCAAGACTAAAGTCAAATGAGAATGATAAGCTAGAAGAGCTTTTGTGTGCAGCTCAGTACTTCAACTAACAGGTTCATTTTGTGCATCTCTCTACACCAAACATGTGGTATGACTGAGGAAGAAGATCCCTCACTCACTCCTCATAGAATATACGTTTTCCTGGGAAAGCAGCTGGATACATGCAAGGAAACGCTGCACCTGAACTAAGATTAGCTATTTTGATGTTTATCAGGGAATTGTGAATAGAACATTTTCTTTGGAAAAAATAAGTTAATAAGTAGAAAACTTTAGCATAGTGATATGAGATTAAAGCTTGTTATAATAGAATTGTTGAGCTTTGGAGAATTTTAAGGAACATTCCACAGAGACAAAACACAGACATCTTCTATAGTCTGAAATTCAAAACAGGGTGGAGTCAAATCTTTTTACAAAACCAACGGAAACTAAATGTGCAGAGAACATTGTTAAAAATGTATTCTTTGCTGTTTCAAGATCTTGGGGAACTGGATCCCGCAAGATGCTGAGTAACCTCAACTCCCATGAATTTCAGCACAGATGAAGTCACTCATTCCATCACAAAACCTCGTCTTTATTCAGAAACCTGCCCATTTAGCCTCTTTCCAGAGTTCCACAGTTCTGCTTCAACCTCACTTAAAGCTACACTGTTTAATGCATGACAGCTGACAGTTCAAATGTTTAAAAACTAGACTGATTTTGCAGCTCTGGTGCCAGCACTCACCCATACACACACACAAAAATCCAAAAAACACAAACATTTATGATGGTTACACCACTAATCAGATGACGGTCAGAAGCTAAACGCTATAAGTGTCACTCTTAAAATTACTGCAAAAGTCAGTAAAAGCAAAAAAAAAAAAAAAAAAAGTGATCCATGTCACAGTGTAACACTAACAGATCCCGGTCATTGGCGGGCAGGCTCAAACCTGGAACCTTTGGAGCTAAATGCATGAGCCTCTACTGCATGAGCTAGAAGCCACAGGGCTCTTAATTAAGGCTGTAGCAGACTTATTAATCTCTGAGGGGTCTCAGTGCCACTAGAGGGAAACAATCACTACACCCAGGAGGTGTGTGGGTTACAACAGCAACAGGAGGGTGTTGGTGTGGGCGATTCCCAACTGCCTTTTCAGACAGTAAGAGACCTTTCCAAGAAGGGCAACCATTCCTTTGAAGTCATTGGGAACTAATGAGTAAATACACATTTGGAAAGCAACAGAAGCTCAGCACTTATTTGAAAATTGATTGTTTTTTTCCATGCACAGGATATTTTTAAAGTTAGAGCTCTCTGCTTTTGGCATGGGGGGGGGGGGAGGAGGGAGGAGTTACAAATGCAGTCTAGCCTACCATCTGAAATTCGGAAATCTGGAGGGTTTACAACCATAACATTTAAGTCATTTTACCACAAGGACAAAATTCTATTCATTTTGATCTTTTCAACTATCCAATTTTATAAAGCAGTCAAGCCATTGAAATTCATCATTTAGAAAGAAAGGGCAATGTTGATTATTGTGAGAGTGTTCTTTCCCACAATAATTCATAAAAGTGAGTGAAACCAAGGTCTAAACGTGTTCAGAAATTGAACTGCACTTAAAATTACTGTAAATAACACCCTCTAAAAATGAAGATGTTTGCTACTTACTTTCCTTCAATGAGCCATGTGCATTTTGTTTTGTATTTATAATTTCCAGGCCCATCTGTTACATATCCAGAAGATCCAGTTAGCCTGTAAATAAAAATTAGAAATGTAGGTTTCCAGTGTGATTAAATACTTAAGTTTTTCCAACCATCTTAGTTTCAAAAAAATACCCTGATTAAAGCACCCAGCTTTACATTTTCATTTATTGAATGGCCATTATAAAAAATACACACACAAATGGATCAGACAATTGGGATTCTGCTATTGTACTCTTGGTCTGTACCCCTTCTCGTAACTAGCCAGAGTACCCACAAGTTCTGCCAGGAAATTCAAGGTGGTGTTCTCATCTGGCTTCCTTCTCAGACCAGCAACTCAGACAAATGGTATTTCTTTCATAACTGAAGACAGGTACAGAAAGAGTAATGTAGGGAGGATGGCAACAGAGCTTCCCTTAATCGAGCAGTGAAAAGTGATGAAACAAGGTACTTGCTTATAAGGACTGTAGTGAAAATAAATAGAAAATGAAAGATTTGTTTAAAACAAACTGCAAAGTTACTACAAAAGTAAAACGTTCAAAATACAACAAAGTATTACTTTCAAAAGCAGAGTCTCAAGGGTAACTTATGGTCCAGTCTAGATTCGACTCATGTTACAGACTCTCGTCTGAAATCTATGTGCTGAACTCCCCTTAGTCTCCTCTCCATTTGAAAATGGAATAATCCCTCTCTGTCAGTGCCTGGATCAGTTATAACTCGTTTCTGCTTTGAAGACTTTGATAACCCACTTTACGGGCAATGGTCCCTGTTCCTGGTATAAGTTTATTTCTTAAATATGCTGCCTCTTCCAACAATTTGTTTCCCCTTAGACTACTCAAAATTATTTTCCACTGTCTTTGTTAAAATGCAGCACTGCTGGACACAGATTGAATGTATGATTTTAGGCACTCATTAGCAGATTCATAAAATCTAGCATTTGAGGTGTTTGTGTAAAAACAAAAACAAAACCCTACGTATGGAAGAATTGGAGAGCAAGAGAGGATGCACCAACTGTATCGGTGTGGAGTGAGTGATTAAGGGTCCTCAATTAAACTGTATTTCTCTGATGTTTCCTTTTCTCCCTGGGAGTAATTACTTCCAAATGAGCATTCCAATTGGCCAGTTAAGACTCAGGCCTGTGTGTCACTTGCAATGCGTATACTAATACTCCACTTTAAGCAACACAAATGTACATTTTAAATTATATAAAATCCAATCTTACTAATAGGTAGACAAAATTATTTGTAACAGCAGGTACCCAATATAACCTCATAAATTAAGGATAATTAGCAAATTCTATCATAACATGTTATGAAAACTAGGGCTGTCAAGTGATTAAAAACATTAATCGCAATCAATTGTGATGCTAAACAATAGAATACCATTTATTTAAATATTTTGGGGTGTTTTCTACATTTTCAAATATATCGATTTTAATTACAACACAGAATACGAAGTGTACATCACTAACTTTATATTTATTTTTGATTACAAATATTTGCACTGTAAAAATCAAAAGAAATAGCATTTTTCAATTCACCCCACACAAGTACTATAATGCAATCTCTTTATCACAAAAGTTGAACTTACAAATGTAGAATTACGTACAAAAAAACCCTGCACTCAAAAATAAAACAATGTAAAACTTTAGAGCCTACAAGTCCACTCAGTCCTACTTCTTGTTCAGCCAATCGCTCAGACAAACAAATTTGTTTACATTTGCAGGAGATAATGCTGCCCACTTCTTGTTTACAATGTCACCTGAAAGCGAGAACAGGTGTTTGCCTGGCACAGTTGTAGCCGGCATTGCAAGATATTTACATGCCAGATGCACTAAAGATTCATATGTCCCCTCATGCTTTGACCACCTCTCCAAAATACACGTGTCCATGCTGATGTCGGGTTCTGCTCGATAACTATCCAAAGCAGTGTGGATGGACGCATGTTCATTTTCATCATCTGAGTCAGATGCCACCAGCAGAAGGTTGATTTTCTTTTTTGGTGGTTTGGGTTCTGTAAGTTTCTGCTTCGGAGTGTTGCTCTTTTAAGACTTTTGAAAGCATGCTCCACACTTCGTCACTCTCGGATTTTGGAAGGCAATTGAGACTTTTGGGTCAAGCACCGTAGCAATCTTTAGAAATCTCACATTGGTACCTTTCTTGCATTTTGTCAAATCTGCAGCGAAAGTGTTCTTAAAACAAACAACATGTGCTGGGTCATCATCTGAGACTGCTATAACATGAAGTATATGGCAGAATGCAGGTAAAACAGAGCAGGAGACACACAATTCTCCCCCACCGAGGAGTTCAGTCACAAATTTAATTAATGCTTCCCCCCCCCCCCCAAATGAGCATCATCAGCATACAAGGATGTCCTCTGGAATGGTGGCCAAAGCATGAAGGCATATGAATGTTTAACATATCTAGCACATAAAATACCTTGCAATGCCAGCTACAGAAGTGCCATGTGAACGTCTGTTCTTACTGTTAGGTGATATTATAAACAAGAAGCAGGCAGCATTATCTCCCGTAAATGTAAACAAACAAAGTTTGACATTGCTTTAGTTTTGAGTGCAGTTATATAACCAAAAAAAAAAAAATCTACATTTGTAAATTGCACTTTCATGAGAAAAATTGCACTACAGTACTTGTATGAGGTGAACTGAAAAAACACTTTCTTTTATCATTTTTACAGTGCAAATATTTAATAAAAAATAATATAAAGTGAGCTCTGTAAACTTCGTATTCTGTACTGTAATTTAAATCAATATATTTGAAAATGTAGAAAAACCATCCACAAATATTTAAAAAATTTCAATTGGTATACTATTCTTTAATAGTGCGATTAAAACCGCAATTCATCCAGGTTAATTTTTTTTAAATTGAGATTAATTTTGAGTAAATCACGTGAGTTAACTGTGATTAATCGACAGCCCAAATAAAAACCCATCCTCACGCTGCAGAAAATGCAGTTACTCCAAGAAGCTGCACTTCTTGTGGGTAGTGGCTTTGTATCTCACATCCTACCTCTGCTTCAGTTATTATATCAACTGAAAACTCTATTTTTTAATTACACACTTATAAGTCCCCACTATTTCAGTACCATGGAAGCAAGAGTCCTTTCCAGGAGATAAATGTGAAAAATTTCTCCAAATCCTGGCTCTCACCCTCCATCTGGAAGAGGACGGAGTACTAAACCATGACTTCATTCACCCTCCCCCACATTTGGGTCATTCCACTATTTACAAGCTCACCAGGCTTCTGGAACCCCAGGGCTTGTGAGATTTAAAACCACTACAAGTTACAGGTTCCTTGCTTTTTTCCTCAGTTTAACTATTGACTGGTGCTGAGCAACATCCTTCCCCAAGGAAGCAGCAGCAGTGGACACGTGCAACCCATCCTGAGAAAGTCTGAGAATCCATCACTTCAGAGTAGCAGCCGTGTTAGTCTGTATTCGCAAAAAGAAAAGGAGTACCTGTGGCACCTTAGAGACTAACCAATTTATTTGAGCATAAGCTTTCAAGCTCACGAAAGCTTATGCTCAAATAAATTGGTTAGTCTCTAAAGTGCCAGATGTACTCCTTTTCTTTTTGAGAATCCATCGGAATTTAGGGGAGAGAGCAAGATCAAGACCAAAACTATCTGGTCCAGTTTGACTGATACACATAAAATGAGACCAAGTAGTCCCAGTGGTTCCTCACAGATGCATTATAAAAAGAAGAGTACCAAAAGCCAGTGGAAAATTTTACAAGAGAATTTTGGCATTAAAACCATTGTGAAGTAGCAATCAGCATGTTCCAGCAACATTTTCTGGCAACTGAGCAGCCACAAGACGCTCCACTGGAGAATATGCTTGTATTTTAAAGCAACTTCACAAGTTCTCAGAGAAGTATATTTTATCAGAGCTGGTCGGAAAAAAGTTAGACAGAACCATTTCTGGAGAACGCAGCTCCACCAAAATGAAAAATACTTTATGAAATCGTGTTGATTTCACCAAAAATGGAAAGAAGTTCCAATTATGTCAAAATGTCCCATTTCAACGTTTAAGAAAAAAATGGTTTAACTTTTCCTTTTTTGTTTGGAATTTTTTTTCAAATTTTGTATGCTATATATTATAAATAAAAGTCAAATGGAAGTGAAATGTTCCCATTTTACTGAAACTAACTATTTTGACTGACCCAAAATGAAACTTTTGACGTTTTCTTTCATTGAGAAATTTCAAATTTGGGCCGTTTGTTTCGAATTGGAACTAAAACAGATGTTGATGTCTTCACTGAATTCCCACTCTGCACAGCTCTACATTTTATACTTATACATTTATACTTATACTTCCAGCTTAATATATCCGGGCCCAAAATTTTTAAGCCTGAAGTTCAGCACCGAATCCATTTTGGGACAACTAGAGCAGTGGCCCAATTTTCAGAGGTGTGCTGAGTTCCTGCAGCTTCCGTGAACTTCAGTGAGGAGGCTTGGACTATTTTTGTTTGTTTTTTCAATTGTTCAGCATTTCTGAAGAGTCAGACTATCCATTTATATATTTAATCAAGGACTCAGGTACCTAATTCTAGACACAAATATTTGAAAAATGTGGCCCTCTTTTCTAAACATTAAGCTTTGGAAAAGAGCGTCAATGGGGAGCCTGGGAATCTTAATGTTTTAAATAAGCTGATGTTTCAACTCTGAAGGCACTTTGCCTGCAATTGATAGTATGCACACTTTGGAAAAGGAATAAATCTCAGGAGCTAAAAAACAATCTGCCATGCTCTCAAACAACTAGCAACCTTTATCCAGGAATCATTATGAACAACCTGCTCTGCTCTGGAAACAATTACTCTGGCATTCACCACAGAAAAATGATCAAAGGCAATATAAGATAATGTCTCAAACATTCCTGGAAATCTTGCACGCTCCAGTGTTAACAGAACTTAGACATATTTGAACAATCCAAAAACAAAATGAACTGTTTAAGTTAAAAAAAAATCAAGACTTTAATCAACAAAGTTTCCTTGGTAAAAACAAGATCTGAAATACTAATCTGTAAATGATTTACATCCCTCACTAACCTTTGGAACATATTTCATTAAACTCAAATAAACCCACGTATAATAAGTATCATTGCAGAGAGTTCAACACTTTCCAAAGCAAATGAAATTGAAGCTACCTTCTCTGCACTCTGGTATTACAGAACACATGGTATTGTATGAACAACCCACAAGCTGGAGATAAGGAGAAATACTTGGCACCAAAGCAAGCTAAGGCTGGAGTCTTATTGTTAAATTCAACAAAAATGAGCTGATAAACGAATAAACTGGGTTCCCAATACTAATGAAAAACAAAAATCCTAGATTTTTTCTAATATTGGTCCTCTGTCTACACTACACAAAAATCTACCATATTAAAGCACTGTACTTGAGCCTGGTAGGGGCCCATCATGTCCTTAAACATGGTTTGGTTTTCCCTATGTGAATAAGATCAAAACATACAATCTAGGAGCAAGGTACTTAAGGTCTGGGAAAATTTGCAGTGCAGCTAGTGCCACCCCAACACCAGATGATATGACAACCAGAACCATTATAAGAGAGATCTTTTTATTAACATACTATTGGGAATAAAGATCACTTGAGTCCTATACTGTCACTGATTCTCAAACAGTTTGACTCATTGACATCAGTATTTTGTATATTTATAACGTTATCACCTAGATACCATGTTGATGGGCATTCTAGAAATGAACTAAAAATTGTACGCATATATTAATCCATGACTTGAATGCTGTATATTCTGACTGTTCTATCCTAAACCAGCAATGCATTACATCATTCTGTAATGACAGGTTTCAGAGTAGAAGCCATGTTAGTCTGTATCTGCAAAAAGAAAAGGAGGACTTGTGGCACCTTAGAGACGAACAAATTTATTTGAGCATAAGCGTTCGTGAGCTACAGCTCACTTCATCGGATGCATTCAGTGGAAAATACAGTGAGGAGATTTATACACATAGAGAACATGAAACAATGGGTGTTACCATACACACTGTAACCAGAGTGATCACTTAAGGTGAGCTATTACCAGCAGGAGAGTGGAGGTGTGGCGGTGGGAGAAAACCTTTTGTAGTGATAATCAAGGTGGGTCATTTCTGGCAGTTGACAAGAATGTCTGAGGGTATGTCTACACTACGGAATAAGGTCGAATTTATAGAAGTCGTTTTTTTAGAAATCGGTTTTATATATTCAAGTGTGTGTGTCCCCACAGAAAATGCTCTAAGCGCATTAAGTGCATTAACTCGGCGGAGTGCTTCCACAGTACCGAGGCTAGAGTCGACTTCCGGAGCGTTGCACTGTGGGTAGCTATCCCACAGTTCCCGCAGTCTCCGCTGCCCATTGGAATTCTGGGTTGAGATCCCAATGCCTGATGGGGCTAAAACATTGTCGCGGGTGGTTCTGGGTACATATCGTCAGGCCCCCGTTCCCTCCCTCCCTCCCTCCCTCAAAGCAAGGGCAGACAATCATTTCACGCCTTTTTTCCTGAGTTACCTGTGCAGACGCCATACCACTGCAAGCATGGAGCCCGCTCAGGTAACCGTCACCCTATGTCTCCTGGGTGCTGGCAGACGCGGTACGGCATTGCTACACAGTAGCAGCAACCCCTTGCCTTGTGGCAGCAGACGGTACAGTACGACTGGTAGCCGTCATCGTCATGTCCGAGGTGCTCCTGGCCACGTCGGCTGGGAGCGCCTGGGCAGACATGGGCGCAGGGACTAAATTTGGAGTGACTTGACCAGGTCATTCTCTTTAGTCCTGCAGTCAGTCCTATTGAACCGTCTTATGGTGAGCGGGCAGGCGATACGGACTGCTAGCAGTCGTACTGTACCATCTTCTGCCGAGCAGCCATGAGATGTGGATGGCATGCAGTCCTTCTGCACCGTCTGCTGCCAGCCAAAGATGTAAAAGATAGATGGAGTGTATCAAAACAAGAAATAGACCAGATTTGTTTTGTACTCATTTGCTTCCCCCCCTCCCCAGTCTAGGGGACTCATTCTTCTAGGTCACACTGCAGTCACCCACAGAGAAGGTGCAGCGAGGTAAATCTAGCCATGTATCAATCAGAGGCCAGGCTAACCTCCTTGTTCCAATAAGAACAGTAACTTAGGTGCACCATTTCTTATTGGAACCCTCTGTGAAGTCCTGCCTGAAATACTCCTTGATGTAAAGCCACCCCCTTTGTTGATTTTAGCTCCCTGAAGCCAACCCTGTAAGCCGTGTCGTCAGTCGCCCCTCCCTCCGTCAGAGCAACGGCAGACAATCGTTCCGCGCCTTTTTTCTGTGCGGACGCCATACCAAGGCAAGCATGGAGGCCGCTCAGCTCACTTTGGCAATTAGGAGCACATTAACCACCACACGCATTATCCAGCAGTATATGCAGCACTGGAACCTGGCAAAGCGATACCGGGCGAGGAGGCGACGTCAGCGCGGTCACGTGAGTGATCAGGACATGGACACAGATTTCTCTGAAAGCATGGGCCCTGCCAATGCAAGCATCATGGTGCTAATGGGGCAGGTTCATGCTGTGGAACGCCGATTCTGGGCTCGGGAAACAAGCACAGACTGGTGGGACCGCATAGTGTTGCAGGTCTGGGACGATTCCCAGTGGCTGCGAAACTTTCACATGCATAAGGGCACTTTCATGGAACTTTGACTTGCTTTCCCCTGCCCTGAGGCGCATGAATACCAAGATGAGAGCAGCCCTCACAGTTGAGAAGCGAGTGGCGATAGCCCTGTGGAAGCTTGCAACGCCAGACAGCTACCGGTCAATTGGGAATCAATTTGGAGTGGGCAAATCTACTGTGGGGGCTGCTGTGATGCAAGTAGCCCACGCAATCAAAGATCTGCTGATATCGAGGGTAGTGACCCTGGGAAATGTGCAGGTCATAGTGGATGGCTTTGCTGCAATGGGATTCCCTAACTGTGGTGGGGCTATAGACGGAACCCATATCCCTATCTTGGCACCGGAGCACCAAGCCGCCGAGTACATAAACCGCAAGGGGTACTTTTCGATAGTGCTGCAAGCACTGGTGAATCACAAGGGACGTTTCACCAACATCAAAGTGGGATGGCCGGGAAAGGTGCATGATGCTCGCATCTTCAGGAACTGTGGTCTGTTTCAAAAGCTGCAGGAAGGGACTTTATTCCCAGACCAGAAAATAACTGTTGGGGATTTTGAAATGCCTATAGTTATCCTTGGGGACCCAGCCTACCCCTTAATGCCATGGCTCATGAAGCCGTACACAGGCAGCCTGGACAGTAGTCAGGAGCTGTTCAACTACAGGCTGAGCAAGTGCAGAATGGTGGTAGAATGTGCATTTGGACGTTTAAAGGCACGCTGGCGCAGTTTACTGACTCGCTTAGACCTCAGCGAAACCAATATTCCCACTGTTATTACTGCTTGCTGTGTGCTCCACAGTATCTGTGAGAGTAAGGGGGAGACGTTTATGGCGGGGTGGGAGGTTGAGGCAAATCGCCTGGCTGCTGGTTACGCGCAGCCAGACACCAGGGCGGTTAGAAGAGCACAGGAGGGCGCGGTACGCATCAGAGAAGCTTTGAAAACCAGTTTCATGACTGGACAGGCTACGGTGTGAAAGTTCTGTTTGTTTCTCCCTGATGAAACCCCCCGCCCCTTGGTTCACTCTACTTCCCTGTAAGCTAACCACCCGCCCCTCCTCCCTTCAATCACCGCTTTCAGAGGCAATAAAGTCATTGTTGCTTCACATTCATGCATTCTTTATTCATTCATCACACAAATAGGGGGATGACTACCAAGGTAGCCCAGGAGGGGTGGTGGAGGAGGGAAGGAAAATGCCACACAGCACTTTAAGCACAGCACTTTAAAAGTTTACAACTTTAAAATTTATTGAATGACAGCCTTCTTTTTTTTGGGTAATCCTCTGTGGTAGAGTGGCTGGTTGGCCGGAGGCCCCCCCACCGCGTTCTTGGGCGTCTGGGTGTGGAGGCTATGGAACTTGGGAAGGAGGGCGGTTGGTTACAGAGGGGCTGCAGTGGCAGTCTGTGCTCCAGCTGCCTTTGCTGCAGCTCAACCATACACTGGAGCATACTGGTTTGGTCCTCCAGCAGCCTCAGCATTGAATCCTGCCTCCTCTCATCACGCTGCCGCCACATTTGAGCTTCAGCCCTGTCTTCAGCCCGCCACTTACTCTCTTCAGCCCGCCACCTCTCCTCCCGGTCATTTTGTGCTTTCCTGCACTCTGACATTATTTGCCTCCACGCATTCGTCTGTGCTCTGTCAGTGTGGGAGGACAGCATGAGCTCGGAGAACATTTCATCGCAAGTGCGTTTTTTTTTCTTTCTAAGCTTCACTAGCCTCTGGGAAGGAGAAGATCCTGCGATCATTGAAACACATGCAGCTGGTGGAGGAAAAAAAAGGGACAGCGGTATTTAAAAAGACACATTTTATAAAACAGTGGCTACACTCTTTCAGGGTAAACCTTGCTGTTAACATTACATACATAGCACATGTGCTTTCGTTACAAGGTCGCATTTTGCCTCCTCCCACCGCGTGACTACCCCCTCAACCTTCCCCCCTCCCTGTGGCTAACAGTGGGGAACATTTCTGTTTAGCCACAGACAAACAGCCCAGCAGGAATGGGCTCCTCTGAGTGTCCCCTGAAGAAAAGCACTCTATTTCAACCATATCTCACTCTCCTGAGGATAACACAGAGAGATAAAGAACGGATGTTGTTTGAATGCCAGCAAACATACACTGCAATGTTTTGTTCTACAATGATTACCAAGTACGTGTTACTGGCCTGGAGTGGTAAAGTGTCCTACCATGAAGGACGCAATAAGGCTGCCCTCCCCAGAAATCTTTTGCAAGGGCTTTAGGACTACATCTAGGAGAACCGCAAATGCCAGGGCAAAGTAATCCTTTCACATGCTTGCTTTTAAACCATGTATAGTATTTTAAAAGGTACACTCACCAGAGGTCCCTTCTCCGCCTGCTGGGTCCAGGAGGCAGCCTTGGGTGGGTTCGGGGGGTACTGGCTCCAGGTCTAGGGTGAGAAACAGTTCCTGGCTGTCGGGAAAACCGGTTTCTCCGCTTGCTTGCTGTGAGCTATCTACAACCTCCTCCTCATCATCATCTTCTTCGTCCCCAAAACCTGCTTCCGTATTGCCTCCATCTCCATTGAAGGAGTCAAACAACACGGCTGGGGTAGTGGTGGCTGAACCCCCTAAAATGGCATGCAGCTCATCATAGAAGCGGCATGTTTGGGGCTCTGACCCGGAGCGGCCGTTCGCCTCTCTGGTTTTCTGGTAGGCTTGCCTCAGCTCCTTCAGTTTCACGGGGCACTGCTTCGGGTCCCTGTTATGACCTCTGTACTTCATGCCCGGGGAGATTTTGACAAATGTTTTGGCATTTTGAAAACTGGAACGGAGTTCTGATAGCACAGATTCCTCTCCCCATACAGCGATCAGATCCCGTACCTCCCGTTCAGTCCATGCTGGAGCTCTTTTGCGATTCTGAGGCTCCATCATGGTCACTTCTGCTGATGAGCTCTGCATGGTCACCCTGCTGATGAGCTCTGGCCAGCGTGGCAAGCTGCAGGTGACCATGCAAACAGGAAACTGAAATTCAAAAGTTCGCGGGCCTTTTCCTGTCTACCTGGCCAGTGCATCTGAGTTGAGATTGCTGTCCAGAGCAGTCACAATAGAGCACTCTGGGATAGCTCCCGGAGGCCAATACCGTCTAATTGCGTCCACAGTACCCCAAATTCGACCCAGCAAGGCCGATTTAAGTGCTAATCCACTTGTCAGAGGTGGATTAAGGAAATCAATTTTAAGAGCCCTTTAAGTCGAAAAAAAGGGCTTCATCGTGTGGACGGGTGCAGGCTTATATCGATTTAACGCTGCTAAATTAGACCTAAACTCCTAGTGTAGACCAGGGCTAAGTCACTTTTGAAAATGAAACTACAGGACTACAATTTTCAAAAGTACCTAACTATTTCATGCTTAACAGTTAGACACATACAAGAGAGTTATCAAGCCATGAACACTGTGGGTTTCAGTTTTTTATAAATCAAAAGGAAGATGAAGCAGTATAAGGGGTCAATAGATTTTGCTGAAAAAAAGCTTACCAAATCTAATGTCAAGTGTTTTATTATTTAAAAGCATTTTCTGTATTTAGATCCTCCTGTGAGGTTCCAACAACCCACACAAAAGCAAAATCCTAATACAAGTGAACCACAGAGTGAAACCAACCTATCAAGTTTCAATAGACCAACAGAATGAAATGCAAAAACTGACCACAACAGAAAATCAGATTTAGCAACTTCACCTCGCAATCTCAGATTTATTAATACTGAAAGGATTTTTTTTTAAACACACAAATGATTTCATATTCACAGCATTACTCTAAAAACGCAGACTGGAACCAGGCTAATACATCAACTCAGTTACTTAAAATATCAAAAAGAAAAGGAGTACTTGTGGCACCTTAGAGACTAACCAATTTATTTGAGCATAAGCTCACTTCATCTGTAGCTCATGAAAGCTTATGCTCAAATAAATTGGTTAGTCTCTAAGGTGCCACAAGTACTCCTTTTCTTTTTGCGAATACAGACTAACACGGCTGCTACTCTGAAACCTTTCATTTGCATGTTAAAGAAACTACCTAAGATGGTATTACATGGATTCTTTTGTGCAACAGTTAATTAAAAAATATGCACAGATACAGGTTTATCTAATTATCAGGAAACAAAAGGAAATCTGTAGGATAATACCATCTGTGTTGAAATTTTGGAAGTTTTAACACCCTAAGGATATGTCTACACTGCGGCGTAAAAACCCCCACTCTACCTACAAACAACTTGTGTTAACCCAGGGCTTGAACCCAGGGTCCCAGGACCCCACAGGCATGGAGAGTCGAAACCTGAGTCAACCCAGGACCCAGGGTTTATGCCCCACTGCTTTGCAGCGTAGACGCAGCCCCACTGAACTCATGCTCTGGGAGTCCAGCAAAAGTATTCCACAGTCCCATAGGCTGACTTCCTTTGTCCTCTAAGATATATCTACACTGCAATTAAAAACCCACGGCTGGCCCATGCCAACTGACTTGGGCTAATGGACTGTTTAATTGAGGTGCAAATGTTCAGGTTCAGGCTGGAGCCTGGGCTCTAAGACCCTGAGCTCTAAGACCCTGAGAGGTAGGAGAGTCCCAGAGCCCAGGCTGCAGCCCGAGCCTGAACGTCTACACCCCAGTTAAACCATCCCTTAGCCCAAGCCCCACAAGCCCGAGAAAGTGGGCATGGGCCGTCAAGGGTGTCTAACTGCAGTGTAGACAAACCCCTAGACAGTCAAGTTTGGTGGACAATCAAGTTTTCCCACAGTGCACCACAGAAAACTAGGTCACACTTTGAGAGGACACGAGGAAGTCTGGGGCACAGGTGGTTGGACTCAGGCCCACATTATGCAGTGTAGAAACTGGAGCCCCAAGTTAAGATACAGGATTCAACAATTCCTAACCTGGAGATTAGAAGGCAGTGTAGATGCTCAAGCCTTAAAACCCAGGGTCTGCTAATATGAGTTTTACTAACCTTGGTCTTACATTGCAGTGTAGACACACCCTCAGACTCTGGTTCAGTCACAGGGTCCTAGGACTCTGTGGGAATGAAGGGCTTGAGTCAGAGTCTCAGGGTTCAAGCCCTCTTGCTTTGCAGTGCTAACACAGTTCCCCCTCAACTTAGGTCCTGGAAGTCCACCAAAAGCAACCCACAATCCCATGGGCCAACTTCCTTCATCTTCCCTATCCCGAAAACTGCCAATCAACTCCAGAGACCTGGAAGCAACTCCCCTTGTGGTAGTGCAGCAGCTCGCTGAGTCAGCAGTTAACTCTTCCATTGTTTTTGGACCACTAAGCTGCAAACACACCATCACAGAACCTCCTACGTTTGCAATGGAGACTGACCAGAAGAAGTCCTTTGCAAAGCATGCTGCTTCAAGGTCTGGGAACACAGTTAGATTTTGGTGAATCTCTGGTGCAAGGCCAACAAAACAGTAGACTTTAGTAAGGGTACCAGGGATGATCACACAAACCAGCAAATAGTAAAGGAGCTGGCAGCACTGCAAATTTACCAAACTGGTTACAAGTGCAGAGAGTGGATTAACTGACTCAATACCAAGTACCAGAGAATCGGGAACCAGAACTGCGCCTTGGGCAACTCACCGACATCTTGTCCATTTTATGAGTTTGACCAGGTGTTGTGTGCTACACCCAGCACAGAGCAAATAATGGCACACGGTGGCCTGCAAGCTGGGGTGCGATCTGCTGGCCCCAGAACCCAGCATGGGAACTGGTGGGAGCAAGCAGAAGGTGCAGAGTGAGGCCAGTGAAGTGTCTCTGCTGGTGACACCAGTCCCAGAAAAGACTTTGCTGCTTCTGCAGCAATCTTGGGGTTGTACCCGGAGAAGCTTTCTGATGCCCCTCCCCCCACCCCCGAAGAAACAAAGCATCATGGAACTGGCAGCAGACAAGGAAGAGACAGAAGCCACCCTGAAGCCTGGCAAGTTTCTGGCTCCATTTTAATGTTTACTAATATAGGACTAGGAGTGACTTCTGTTGTATGAACCAATGAAGCACTTATGAAGCCCCAGCTAGCAACATGGTGGAATGAATGCCAGCAGCTTGGCTCCCTCCCGCACCCTACCCCAAAGAGTTCAAAATGGCAACTGGGAAATGCAAACAGCAAGTCTTGAAAGTAAATTTTTTAGAAAGGAGCACATTTTTGCCAGGGCCTCTGAAAACAGTGTACGGTTGATAAGCCCAGGCAAAAGAGGGTATGTGGGGTCCCCCAGGATAACAGTGGACAGTAACTAGACATTTATGACAAGGTAATCTGGTGGGAATAGTGCCCCAGCCTGTTCATGAATGTAGACTACCAATCAGCAAAAGAACAAAACAAAACCCTGGCATCATGAACTTTTCCAGTGCAACCCACGTTGACATTCATAAATTGACCTCTGTAGTCCCTGAAGGCCTGTATAACAATGGAGTAGTACCCTTTTATGTTTATGTACTCATGTGCTCCTGAGGAGGGCAAACAATGGATACGAGTCCCATCAATGGCCCTGGTGCAGTTTGGAAACCCCATTCTCTCAAAGCCAGCACTTACCTCAAGAATATCTTTTATGCCTGCCACCTTGAGGTAAACCACACCCCTGACTGCCTCAGAAACCTTGCCACCACTTTACCCACTGTCAACTTTTCCACACCAAACTGGTTAGCAATCGACCTGTAGCAGTTTGGGGAAGCCAGCTTCCAGACAGTTACAGCCCATTTCTGGACCAGTTTGGCCACTCACATGTGTGTATCTTTACACTGGAGGCTCAGGGCAAGCTGTGCACAAAGCTCCAGAAACGTAGCTTTCTTCATGCGTTTCTTCTGGACCCACTGTTGGTCATCCCGGGTCTGCATGACGATGTGGTCCCACCAGTCTGTGCTTGTGGCCCTGCTCCAGAAGCGACTGTCTAAGTAGGGGGCATCAGCAGCTGTTCCAAGTGACATGAGCAGCATCAGCCAATTTGAGTCTGGCATCCCTGTGTCCTCCACCTCCTCCATTATAAGTTCTGTCAGGTTTCTTCAGTGAATCAGAAAATGTTGCTGAAATGTTCACCAGCATCTCACAGAAGCTCTGCCCTTTTCCTGACACAGGAGTGAAAGCATAAGCAACAGAAATTCTTCAAAAGGTGCCTCCTCCACACTCCTGTGTGCTGGGAGCACACAGACCAAAATGACTGCTTGGCAGGATGTGTTGGCAGGCTGTGCCAACTTCCTGTAACATGCAGCATGGACAGTCAAGTTTCCCCACAGTGCACCAGGGTCAAAGGGCTAGAATAGCCACATTTCAGGAAGATGCTAGGGATTCTGGGATATGGTTGATTTGACTCTGGTCTGCACCCCGCAATGTGGACGCCAGAGCCCCAAATTCAAGCCCGGCTTAGTGAATTCTTAACCTAGGGTTGACAATCAGTGTAGATGCTCAAGCCCTGGGTTCTTGAACCCAGGGTCAGCTGACTTGAGTCCCACTAACCCTGGGCTTACAATGGAGCACAGACATACCCTTAAGAACTTTAGTGTAATTAGGGGTATCTCTAAAGAATCACACAGCAATATTTTACTGTGTCTTCAACTGACATGACACAAGTGGCTAAAAACCAATAGAGATTGTCCACAAAGTCAACAACAGGTGGATCTTACATATGCATCATATCTGTTATCCGGCACAATGACCGATTCCTGTAATGGGTTAGACACATGGCTATTTTGCTATGTAGGCAGGCAACACTAACCAAAAAGAAAAGGAGGACTTGTGGCACCTTAGAGACTAACCAATTTATTTGAGCATGAGCTTTCGTGAGCTACAGCTCACTTCATCGGATGCATACCGTGGAAACTGCTGTTAACACGGCTGTTACTCTGAACACTAACCATGACACTGTAACTGGTAAAAACAGTCCTCCCT